AGCACGGTGCAGCCGCAGCGCACAGTTAGGCGCTCACCAGATGTTCGTGGATGAATGAATGAATGAATGAGCGAACGAGGCGCCCATTTCAGTAGGAGTGAGGGTCTTCGCCTCCGACCAGCCAGAGTCCAGGCAGCCAGGATTTTTCGGGAAGCCCCTAGGACAATGGCAGGGTAGTGGGACGGGTCCGCTGATGATAAGGAAACGGTGCCTTTGACGCACGCGTTGGTCATTCGTCTCTCTTTTCCCTTTAAGAAAAACGGAAGATGTCGGAATATATCCGGGTAACGGAAGACGAGAATGACGAGCCCATTGAAATTCCATCGGAAGACGACGGGACGGTGCTGCTGTCCACGGTCACGGCCCAGTTTCCCGGGGCCTGCGGGCTGCGCTACCGGAACCCCGTGTCGCAGTGCATGCGCGGGGTCCGGCTGGTGGAGGGCATTCTGCACGCCCCGGACGCCGGCTGGGGCAACCTGGTGTATGTGGTCAACTACCCCAAAGGTCCGTGGCCACCGGGTTTCACAGCCCTAACGCTCCAGCGCAGTCGTGTTTGTGCCGCATTGTCCGTCGGAGAGGGTGGCCTTTTTTTTTTTTTTTTTTTAATATATTTTATTGATTTTTTACAGAGAGGAAGGGAGATGGGTAGAAAGTTAGAAACATGGATGAGAGAGAAACATCGATCAGCTGCCTCCTGCACACTCCCTACTGGGGATGTGCCCGCAACCAATGACCGGAATCGAACCTGGGACCCTTCAGTCCGCAGGCCCACGCTCTGTCCAGAGCCAAGCCCGTCAGGGCGAGGGTGGCCTCTTTTCATGGTGCAACGTCTCCGATAACCCAAGTATTTCTTTAAACGTTACTTACTATTAGACTAGTTTGTAAGAGCACTAGTTTAAATGAGTGAGAACTGCAAGTTACAGAATCTTTTTTAAAAGTGAAAACTGTGTGTTTAAGTATCTGAACAAATGTTGCCATGTTTAGACAATGATGTATCAGTGTCGGTCCATCATTTGTAACAAATGTGTCACCACGGGAGGGATGTTGATGGGGGAGCTATGCATGTGCGGAGGAAGGGCAGTACTTATATGGGAAATCTCTGCCTTCCTCTCAATTGTGCTGTGAACCTAAAGTTGTTCAAAAATGTCTGTTGTTTTTTTTTTTTTAATTTTCATTCGGTTCTTCCCTTTCTAATTTTGCTTTTTAAAAAATAACCTAAGGTTTTTTAATATTACAAAAATTAATGTACCTTTATTATTGAAAGTTTAGAAAAGAAAATTGAAATCACCCTAAATCTATAGCTGGAAATAAAAGTTGCTGATTTTTTTTTTTTTTGGCAGATAGCCTGTAAGTTATAGGCATTAAAATAATTAAGCAAATACATTTAATAGCCAAAAAGATGGTAATTACTCTTTTAACCAGTTTTTTTTCCTCAATGTATTTCAAAGTCAGAGTGAAGTAGAATTACTTATGTTTTGATATGCCTTCTGAGAAGGGAGGATATTTATTTGTAATCTTGTGACACTACAAAACCAGAGGTGTGAGTCCCTGGATTTGCACCAGAAAAGCACCTCAACCACTGACTCAGTCCTTCATTCAGTCTCTGAGAGCTGACTACTCTTTCCCAAAAGTTGAAACATCTTTACGTTCTTAGAATCTTTTTGCTTCTCACTCCTAGATGTAGGAGGCGGTGTGTTTTGAAACGTGTTACATGAAGAGTTCTAAAAGGTTTCTGCTCATTTTGTTTAGATAACAAAAGGAAGATGGATGAAACAGATGCTTCATCAGCAGTGAAAGTGAAAAGAGCCGTCCAGAAAACATCTGATTTAATAGTGTTGGGTCTCCCGTGGAAGACAACTGAGCAGGATCTAAAAGAATATTTTAGTACCTTTGGAGAAGTTCTTATGGTTCAGGTAAACTTTGATTTCATTTAACAGTTTTTCTTTTTCTGGGTGAATGAGCACCCAGAATTCCTGTTTTAGTGACACTGCCCTTCATGTTCAACAGACAGTATTTTTAATTTAAGATTCATAAACATTAGAGCTGCCGAACCGGTTTGGCTCAGTGGATAGAGCGTCGGCCTGCGGACTCAGGGGTCCCAGGTTCGATTCCGGTCAAGGGCATGTACCTTGGTTGCAGGCACATCCCCAGTGGGGGGCGTGCAGGAGGCAGCTGATCTACCTCTCTCGTTGATGTTTCTGGCTCTCTATCCTCTCCCTTCTTCTCTGTAAAATATCAATAAAATATATTAAAAAAAAAAATTATAAAAAAAAATAAACATTAGAGCTAGTTTATCTTTGCATTCTAAAACATTTTGTTGAAATTCTGATATTCTGATATGTAAAAGAGTATTATTCTGCTATAAACAGGATCTAAATTCAACATAGATTTATTCTTGGGGTTTTTACCCCAAGAATAATTTGGTTTAAATTTTAATTAAGCCACTGCATCCAGTTGAAGCCATTCACATTGTCAAGGAATTTCTCATTTGGTTATGTACCTGTGTTGTTTTAGTAAATTTAAATGATTTTTTTTCTAGGTCAAGAAAGATATTAAAACTGGTCATTCAAAAGGGTTTGGGTTTGTTCGATTTACGGAATATGAAACGCAGGTGAAAGTAATGTCACAGAGACATATGATAGATGGACGATGGTGTGACTGTAAACTTCCTAATTCTAAGGTACTTTGCTTTTTTTTTCTTTGCTTTTTTGCCTTTTTTATTTCTGCTTTGGGAACTTTTGCTGACAAACTTCCTATAGAAGACACTATAAAATAAAACGTTAAATATACTTGGAAAGGTAGTGTCAGGATGTTTTCTTGAAATCTCTTGGCTGAGGGCGGGGGGGGAAAAAAGGACACTTATGTAATACCCTTTGTAATACTTTTAGCGAAAAATAAAAAAAAATTAAAAATAAAAAATAAATAAATCTCTTGGCTGGTTAAAGCCTTGGGACCTTAATGCATGCTGAATATTTTATGGCTGTTTGAAATATATAGTTAAATATCCCTCTAAACCAGCGGTTCTCAACCTGTGGGTCGCGACCCCTTTGGGGGTCGAACGACCCTTTCACAGGGGTCGCCTAAGACCATCGGAAAACACATATATAATTACATTACGATTCATAACAGTAGCAACATTACAGTTATGAAGTAGCAACGAAAATAATTTTATGGTTTGGGGTCACCGCAACATGAGGAACTGTATTAAAGGGTCACGGCATTAGGAAGGTTGAGAGTCTAAACTGAACTATGTTAACAATCTTACGTAGTTACATGTTAAAACATGAAGATGATCAGAGTGCAGTAAACTTGTTATAAAAGCCTAACTTGTTCCAAGCAAGACTTGCTTATTTGGAACATTATTGATTAGTCGTTGACTTTCCTAGATCCAAATATACTTTCATGAACTTAAAACTTTAAGACTGTATTTGTCATTGAAGTCTTACAAGAAGGAGGAGTGCTAATGCAAAAAAATAAAAATGTACTTATTTTTTAATGACTCACCTGCGGTAAAGGCAGATAGGTTGTGCTACATCCTCCACCACAATGCCTTTTCCATTGCTCATAAAATATTTCTGATTGTTTTTCCTACCTTTGAATTTGCTCAGCAAAGCCCAGATGAGCCTCTGCGAAGCAGGAAGGTGTTTGTTGGGCGCTGTACAGAGGACATGACGGCTGATGAGCTGCGGCAGTTCTTCTGCCAGTACGGAGAAGTGGTAGATGTCTTCATTCCCAAACCATTCAGGGCTTTTGCCTTTGTTACATTTGCAGATGATCAGGTATTTTTCTCTTTAAAAATTTAATCCCAGCTAATTAGGTAATTTCTCTTGAACTTTTCCCTCCAGCTAATTGCCATCCATAACTAAGCTTTCTGACCTTGTAAGCTGTGCAGGGTATATGGACCTAGATATCTGTGATAAACGTTTTAGTACTTTTCTGTATGTGGTGTTTAACCAAGAGTGTTATATATCTTTAGAAAGTAAACTGAAAAATTCTTGCTGCCATTACTAAAAGCTCAAGGCTATTTTGAGTTTAAATGAAATGAGCATTCATTGTTTATTTTTCCTTCAGTTTAGATAATGGCTTGAAATCTAAATTTTATTGCTACTTTGAAGTACAAGTCAGTGGTTTAATCGCCTTTATTTACACCCCTTATTTTCTTATAGGTTGCCCAGTCTCTTTGTGGAGAGGACTTGATCATTAAAGGAATCAGCGTACATATATCCAATGCTGAACCTAAGCACAATAGCAATAGACAGTTAGAAAGAAGTGGAAGATTTGGTGGTAATCCAGGTGGCTTTGGGAATCAGGGTGGATTTGGTAACAGTAGAGGGGGCGGAGCTGGCTTGGGAAATAATCAAGGTAGTAACATGGGTGGAGGGATGAACTTTGGTGCTTTTAGCATTAATCCAGCGATGATGGCTGCAGCCCAGGCAGCGCTGCAGAGCAGCTGGGGTATGATGGGCATGTTAGCCAGTCAGCAGAACCAGTCGGGCCCATCAGGTAATAACCAAAGCCAGGGCAACATGCAGAGGGAGCCAAATCAGGCCTTTGGGTCTGGAAATAACTCTTACAGTGGTTCTAATTCAGGGGCAGCCATTGGTTGGGGATCAGCTTCAAATCCAGGGTCAGGCAGTGGTTTTAATGGAGGCTTTGGCTCAAGCATGGATTCAAAACCTTCTAGCTGGGGAATGTAGACAGTGGATGACGGTTGGTTGTATAGACTGGTGGGAATTCAAATTTTTCTAATCTCATGGTAAGTATATTGTAAAATACATATGTACTAAGAATTTTCAAAATTGGTTTGTTCAGTGTGGAGTATATTCAGCAGTATTTTTGACATTTTCTTTAGAAAAAGAGGAAGAATTAAAGGAATTTTATAAGTTTTGTTACATAAAGGGTTGAAATACTGAGTGTTTGAAAGTGAACTGCTGTTTGCCTGATTGGTAAACCAACACACTACAATTGATATCAAAAGGTTTCTCTTGTAATAATTTATCCCTGGACTCGTCAAGTGAATTCTTTGCATGTTCAAAATGGAAACCATTAATTAGAACTACATTCTTTTCTTTTAATTTGAACCCCACCATATGGATTTTTTCCTTAGGAATATCTCCTTTTTGGAGATCATGGTGTCACAGTGTTTGGTTCTTTTGTTTTTGTTTTTTAACACTTGTCTCCGTTCATATGCAAAAGTACAATATGAAGCCTTCATTTAATCTCTGCAGTTCATCTCATTTCAAATGTTTATGGAAGAAGCACTTCATTGAAAGTAGTGCTGTAAATATTCTGCCATAGGAATACTTCTGTCTACATGCTTTCTCATTCAAGATTTCGTCATCACACTGCACAGGCTGCGTCTTTGACGGTGGGTGTCCCATTTTTATCCGCTACTCTTTATTTCATGGAGTCGTATCAACGCTATGAACGCAAGGCTGTGATATGGAACCAGAAGGCTGTTTGAACTTTTGAAACCTTGTGTGGGATTGATGGTGGTGCCGAGGCATGAAAGGCTAGTATGAGCGAGAAAAGGAGAGAGCGCGTGCAGAGACGGTGGTGCAAAATGGATATTTTTTAACTTGGCGAGATGTGTCTCTCCATCCTGTGGCTTTGGTGAGAGAGTGTGCAGAGAGCAATGATAGCAAATAACGTACGAATGTTTCTTGCATTCAAAGGACATCCACATCTGTTGGAAGACTTTAAGTGAGTTTTGTTCCTAGATAACCCACATTAGCTGAATGTGTTAAGTGAAACGATACTTGTATTTCCCCTCTCCCTTTGTCAACTGCTGTGAATGCTGTATGGTGTGTGTTCTCTTCTGTTACTGATCTGTAAGTGTGGTCATGTGAACTGAAGCTGGTGGGTTGAGAACATGGACTGAGCTTGTGGTGTGCTTTGCAGGAGTACTTGGAAGCAGAGCTCACCAGTGAGCTGGGGGTGTCTCAAAGAAGGGTGGGCGTTCTAATGTCTGTCAGCCACCCCTCAGAATGCTGTTTGCTGCAGTTCTGTGTCCTGTGCTTGGATGCTTTTTATAAGAGTTGTCAATGTTGGAAATTCTTAAATAAAACTGATTTAAATAATATGTGTCTTTGTTTTGCAGCCCTGAATGCAAAGAATTCATAGCAGTTAATTCCCCTTTTTTGACCCTTTTGAGATGGAACTTTCATAAAGTTTCTTGGCAATAGTTTATTTTGCTTCAAATAAACTTATTTGAAAAGTTGTCTCAAGTCAAATGGATTCATCACCTGTCATGCATTGACACCTGATACCCAGACTTAATTGCTATTTGTTCTTGCATTGTCCAAAGTGAAAAGTTGTTTTGTTTTTTCTTTTTAAACCTATCTTTTAATAAGTCTGGGTGACCGCACCTAAAATGGTAAGCAGTGCCCTCCAGCTTTTCCTTAGTGCCTCTGTGCATTTGGGTGATGTTCTATTTACATGGCCTGTATAGATCTCTCCATTGGGAAATCGTGCCTCCTAAAAATCTTATTTGGGGGAGTGGGCAAAACAGTGTTAATTCTTTTTAAATGCTTTGTAGCAAAGCATACCAATTGAAAGGGAATATTAGCGCCTTTTTAGTTTGGTATTTGAAAAGTGGAATTAATTGCAATGGGGATAAAAGTAGAAGAAACCACAAATTATCTTGTGCCTGAAATCCATTAAGAAGCTTGATAGCTTTAAGAACTATCAGGGTGTGGTGGGTTGTCTGTGAAAGTGTTAAGTGAAATGGACTTTGTCCTCCCAAGGTGGGGGAAATACAGTCCTGCTGAATAAAATCGTTTACAAAACTCAGATTAGACTCTCACGATGCATTGTTAAGTATGTAAAAGCGATAATATATTGATGATTGTACTTTTTATGTAACTACTGCTATGAGAGTTGAGCTTGTTTTCTAATGGAAGAATGTAACAGTTCTTGTGTTGATAGTTTACCTAATGCCCTTATCTAATTAGATTATGATAAATAGGATTTTTGCAAATTACATGTTTTAAACTTTTATAAAGTGAAGTCATCCTTTAGACTTGTGATCGCCACATTGTTTCATTATTCAGTTTCCTCTGTAAAAGGATCTTGCAGTTGTTTTTTTTTTTCTGCATCTAAATTGCATGATTTCCAAACCCTGTACCATCTGAATTTTGCATTTTAGCACTTGCACTATTACTCAGCAGCAGTAACATGGTAACACTTAAAATGGTACTCGGGGACCTCCAAAGACTAAACTGACAAGCCTTCAAGGAGCCCAGGGGTAAGTTAACTTGTCAATGGCATGGTTTTAATCCCTCTTTACACTTGTGTAAACCTAGTAACTGGTCTTGGAAGGCTTTCAATGTTGAGTAGCCTTCTCTTAATATGTTTGTGGTAATACATAGCTATGGGCATTTAATTCTACCCTAAATTTTTTTTTTTGAAGTTTAGAAGTAAACTATTTGGCAAAGATTTGTTTTTAGAGTCTATTTGGTCATCTAAATGCTTTCATTCTAAACATTTTTTGAACCAGTTGAATAAAAAGTTTTGTTGCCACCAGTTTAGTGTCTGGAGTCTTACTGGAAAAACAGTTTCCTTTTTATACGTGACAAAGATGCTGTAAAGTTACCTTTAAAAAGTGAGTCTCAAGAAGTTGCACTTTACATGCACAAGAGAAATTAGGGCAAAACTCACAATGAATTTTTAAATACAATGGTAACTGACTAGAATGAAAAGCTTTGTTAGATGTTAGCTATTAAATCTTTTTAGGAAGGACTAGCCAACTAAAATGAAATATTTTTAAGCTTAAGTCAGAGCTTAAATTTTGTCCTTAGGAAAAAGAAGTTAACTACTTAATTTGGAAGATGTATGTGATAATTAGAATAATTTGTTGTTGAGTACTAGGACAATAGCTCTTAATTGTGTATTCAGGTTCTATACTCAGGTATTGTGTGATCTGTGATCTATTGTTTGGCTAACTGTGACCCTCTTTTACATGTTTATCATAATTAAGAAGGAAAAAAAATACAGATTTATCTATAGTACCACCATTTACTTCTGGTGTCATAGTTCATCTTATGGAAATGCCACATTTAATTCCATTGTCTTCAGAATTTGAACATTATTTAGGTTATTTCCAAGTGCTGGGAGCATGGCTAAATTAAGTTCTTAGCATTGAAATTACTAGGTTAAAGACTATGCATGCTTTTAAGGCTTTTGAAATACATTGCAAAATTTTCCTTTAGAAAATTTGTGTTGTCTTTGACAATGTGAATAGTGCTACTCCATGTTCATTTTGTCTACCAATTTGATAAGTGCAAAATTATATCGCTGTTTTTGTGATACTGGTTTTTAACATGGAAATTAGTACCTAGGCTAAAGTATTGATGTTTCTAGTTCATCTACAAAAATCCATGATTCAAGGTTACCCTGAACTAATACTGCTGTGGTATTAGAGATCCATAAGAATAAGTCGAGAAATACTCAAAGACCATGTACAGGCCATTTCCGGAAATGCAATAAAAAAGCCAGTACAAAAGGATACTGGACTCTGTAAGTAGCACAGTGCAGTCTGACCAGTGAGTTTCTATTGCTCCGGCAAAGACGAACATCACTGTAGTTCACACCCCCTTGAACCACAACGTAACGGGTGGAAGCTGGCCGGCCTCTCCCTGCAGTTGGGTTTTGGTTTTGGGTGGGCGGGCGACAGTGGCTGTGCTAATGTTCCTCGGGTGACATTGCTGCTGCGATCTTGTACAGGCATTTTTAAAAGGCATTTACTGATTGAAAACATACAAATTAAAAGTTACTCATTTTCTTTTTTTCTTTTTTTTTATTAAAATATTTTATTGATTTTTTACAGAGAGGAAAGGAGAGGGATAGAGAGTTAGAAACATCGATGAGAGAGAAACATTGATCAGCTGCCTCCTGCACACTCCCCACTGGGGACGTGCCCGCAACCCAGGTACATGCCCTTGACTGGAATCGAACCTGGGACCCTTGAGTCCGCAGGCCGACGCTCTATCCACTGAGCCAAACCGGTGAGGGCTAAAAGTTACTCATTATTTTCTTGATCCAGGGAATATAGTTAATGACTTTTGTGTAAACCCCATACACTTGTGCTTCCCCACAATTATTGGAGCCCCAGGACACTATTCCTCCCACAAACCACCTGTGTGTCTCATTGTCGAGAAACACTAATGCCCCTCCACTGTCGCCTCCACAGCTATCCTTGCCCCCACTCTCTACGCCAGCACAAAGCATGTTGTCAGTTACCTTTGCCCCTAGATACAGCTTCTTTTCATAGGCAGCAGCACATGTTTGATGATCAACAATTGGTATGTCAACAAACTTCAGACTTTGGGCAAGAAAACCCCTTTGGGTTAATCCCCATCCGGATACAGTTCCAATGTCATCTGTCCTCATGAAGGATTCAGCTGCTTCTCCCGGCAAGCAGATAGGCATGATGCTGCTGTTGATGGCAACTTTGTTCTGCAGTTTAATCAGCGCTATGTCGTTATCGAAACCAGCAGCATGCCTGTAGCCCTCATGGATGAAAATGGCCTCTGCCCAGGCTTGTGTGTGCTGAGGCGACAGTCTCTTCAGGGCACCCATTCGAATGTTCAGGGAGGAGGCATCATCTTTTTGCTCATATACGACATGAGCAGCCGTTAGGATCCAGTTGTCATTCAAAAGTGCACCTGCTGCTGTGGTGTCGCCTAATAATAACAGGACTTGCCAAGGAAAATCACCAAGCTTTGCATTTTTCCCTCCATATATACGACCTCCTATCGTACGGGCTGATAGTCCACAAACTGGGGAAAGAAGCAGAAAGGTAGAGCCTTGGTAGAAACCCAGCGGTGCTTTTCTCCACCCACCACTTGGGACTTGTTAATATTTCATGTCAGCCCAAAATGGGGTCACCTAAATCGGTGGGTGCCCACCTGTACAGGCAGGTGAGGCTACCTTAAAACAGCACAGTTCAAAGACCCAATGGGGAGTTCTTAGCTCCTCAGAAAATGAGGTGGGTAAAATTTCTTTTAGAAGCTATATTTGTTTTGCAAAAAAAAATAAAAGGTCTACACAGTTGGGGGGTTATTTATTAGGGCAAGCGGGAATTGGCTGAGCTGATGCATTGGGTGATGGGAATAGGAAGTGGAAGGAAATAACCTTTTCATTGCTTCTGTTATCCCACTTTAAAATGGGGTGTTCACCATGTAGTTCTGTGAAAGCAGGAACTAGGTCACTGTCATCGGATTGGCAAAATTAATTTGACTTTTGAACATTTAAATGTTTTACAAATTAGAATGTCGCAGCTATAGCCAGGAACCTTCAGGGTCAGAAATTATTTGTCATCTAGTTGATGCTTTCAAACACTAAGTTTTACTCTATATTACTAAGGGAATACACTCAATGTACCAAATGTTTCCTACTGTGGCAGAATACTTGCATTGAAACTTGTAAACGTGGTGTCAGCTAAAATCAAATAACTAATTTAAGCCAAATAACACAGGGGTAATGAATATATTATTACCTTTCTGATTTTTTTAATATCTACTCAACTATATCTTCAGAGCCAATTCTGGTAAAAAAAAATGTTTAAGTACTATTAAAAGGCAAATTGCATTAATGTTTAAAAATTAGATGTCATTGAAAACAATTGCTTAGGGAAATAATGAAGTTATTAGCTTTGGGTTTTAATAGCATTTTTAACAGGGAAGAAAAGTAACAACAGAGGAACTTAAGTTTACAAATGTATAAATGGTTCAAGATAATTTAAAAAATCATTTAATTTTTTATGCTTGCCTAGTTGTAAGGCCAAAATAATCAAATGACTGATGCAGTCAGCACCTAACAACCTCTCCACACGGAAAGGGGATAATGAGGACGTATTATTTGGAAATAATAACTTGGTCTAAGAGCCAAGTACCGAAGTTACATTTCTGCCTACCACAGCGAAAGCTCTACTTATTGTCTCCGACCCATTCTACTTTCCATCAATTACGAATCTCTTGTATAAATGAATCCATTACCAGGCTCACAGACTGGGAGTGATTTTTCTCCTTTGGAGCTCGTCCAGAATCCATCAGCCTCACACACATATTTACCTGCAAATCATTGGAAAAGCAAAAATGTTTAACTGCACGTATGAGGTGGTTGTCATTTGCTTGAATTCCCCCTTAAAAAATGTTGATTCCTGAGCATCCGTGGGAAATAGAGGTGTCTGAATAACCATTTTACATGATTTCCTAAATGGGAGGTCTCGGCATTACCATGTTTGCTTGCAAAGTGGAAACCTTTTAGATGTGTAACTTGAATATGTATCAAGATCTCAAGTGCTTAATGATAAGGTTTTGACTTGTTAAATTAAACCATTTGGAATATATTGTGTGTTTGTAGTAGTCATTTACTAGATAAGATCTGTTTTCAGATTCTTGCAAATTGACATTAAAGTCACTTCAGCTGTAATATTTCACTTAGCTGGTGGGAGAAGTGCCTTTTAATCTTTTGTCTAGCCTTAGCCAAAATGTTGGCTACAGTTTCTTTTCAGATGGTGAGGGCTTGGTTCCAAGCAGCACCCACCCCCAGCTTGGAGCAACGTGCTTACCATCACCTCCTGCCATGGTGTAGAAGATCTCATTGCAGCGGTACTGAATCACAGCTTTGTACGTCGTCACCTCAGAACCCGAGAGGTACTCCACACGGCCGTTGGGCAGGTCATCAGGAGGGCCACACTCAACAACTAATGAACAGGGGAGAGGGAGGAGTCAGTTTCTGCGTTTAATTCTAACATTAGAAAGATGTGGAGTCCGGTAGACAGTGAGCCCTGTGGTGCTGGGTTGGGGTGCAGTCCCTGCGGGGGTGGCGTGAGGCCTTTCCTCAAGGAAGGGGATCTGAAACCACACGACTTCCTCGACGCTCTCCCTTCTGACAGGAAGGTCTGCAGCCACAGGAGGGAGGAGGCGGCACAGCCTGCACTGTCTAGCTCCCCCAAAAGGGCACTCAAACGACAATGCAAAGCTGACTCTGAAGGGCGCAGTTTGTTCTTAGGATCCCTTTCCTAATTGACCCTATTGTTAGAGAAAGGGATCGGCTGCCTCCTGCACGCCCCAACCGGGGGTGGAACCCACAACCTGTGTATGTGCCCAGACCAGGAATCCAACCGCCACCTTCTGTTGTACGGATGATGCTCCAACCAACTGAGCCACACAGGCCGGGGCTCATAGATTGAACTTTCTAGAAGACCTGGAAGTCCTTGAATTTGGATTAGAATTCACACTTGGGACATTGCTAATAGGAAGGAAGTAACCACTTTGTGAGGCAGTGCTAAACGTCTCCACACAGTGGATGTATAAAATGGTTGGTGCATATCTAGGTATTCAAAGACTGCATTTAAATGATCCTCAGCAATATCTGTGTGCCTGGCTCTGCCAAGTGCTTTGTCTGCATTGCCTAATTGTCTGTAGATGAGACGCCATAACTACCCAACCAAAAATAGCCGAAGCAGGGCTCAAACCCAGACCTCTGGCTTCCACTGCCTTTAGAACTCTTCTGCTGCTTTTTTAACTAAAAGAATTGGTGGGAATGTAAATTTATGAAATAAAAAATATTTAATTCCCCCAGGCATTTTGTAGAAATTCTTATGCAAAATATACAAAAATACATGTACAGGGTGTTAACTACAGCAAGTGCATGTAACAGTAAAAAAAAAAGGGGGGGGGGACAATGAAAGATTAAATAAAAGCATAGTGTGATGAAATGCTATACGGTAATTAACAAGAATGAGAGGCTCTATTAATACCTAAACTCATGTGGGAAGATAGCCCAACAAGATGGAGAAAAGCAATTGCAATCATTAAGTATTCCATTTTGGTTAATAATAATAATAGCCCTAGCCAGTTTTGCTCAGTGGTTAGAGAGTCAGCCGGTGGACTGAAGGGTCCCAGGTTCGATTCTGGTCAAGGGTACATACCTCAGTTGCAGGCTCAATCCCCAGCCCTGGTCAACCAATTGATGTGTGTGTCTCACATCGATGTTTCTCTCTGTCTCTCCTCCCACTCTCAAAAAAAAAAAGAAAAAATAGACCAAAACCCACACAGGAGCAGACCAGCACCTTCCCCTTCCCCTTCCCCTGTTCCCCGCCCTCCCCCCCACACACACACGTTACCTTTGCCTTTCTCCTAAGCTCCAAGGGCCCTTCTGCCTCTGTAACTCATTTCCTTAGCCCATTTCTTCTACGGATCACTTCTACCTCTCTATAATTTTTTAAAATATATTTCTATTGATTTCAGAGAGGAAGGGAGAGGGAGAGAGAGAGAGAAACATCAATGGCAAGAGAGAATCATTAATTGGCTGCCCGCTTCATGCCCCATTGGGGATGGAGTCAGCAACCTGAACATATGCCCTGACCGGGAATCGAACTGTGACCTGGTTCATAGGCTGACGCTCCATTATTGAGCCTTGCCGGCCAGGCTGTGTAATTTTCTATTAAACTTTATCTTATAGTTTAAAAAAAAAAAGCATATAATAGTGAAATATGTTTATATATATATATTATATATATATATATATATATATATATATATATATATATGACATAGGAGATAAAGAATATGAAGGAGTAGACCCCAAACTCTTAGTGGTAGCTTAGGGATTTGGTCAAGAGTGGCTTTTACTATATATTTTTGTAAACATATTTTCCAATTAACGTGTATTTTATAATTGAAAAGATATTTAAGGTAAGATACATGATTCTTAGTTCACAAAATGGTAGTACACCATTGTCTCAGTTTGGTGTGTGTGTGTCCACACAACTACCCCATCCCTACATGCAGTAGCCTAAACCTGTGTGCATATGTGAGACACATACACCAAAATAGTGATTAGAGTTGTACTGTGGGATTATGGGTATTACAATGTCATTTTCTCTATTTCCCATCTTCTACAAGGATTTTATACTTAGAAAAAATATTTTTAAAGATCACACTTTTTTAAAGCAAACAATCACTCTGGCCAGTGTGGCTCAGTTGGTTGAGGCGTGGAAGAGTGTCAGGTTCGATTTCCGGTCAGGGCACATACCCAGGTTTTGGGTTCAATCCCTGGCCAGGGCGGTGTTTCTCTCTCACATCGATGTTTCTCCCTCCCGCTCCCTTCTTCTCTCCCTAAAATCAATTAAAAGGAAATAATTATCCTACTAGCTTGGTTTCATTTTAACCTCTAAGAGTGCACTGAGAGCCAGGGAAGAGAAGCAAATTTGGAATTCAACCCCCGAAAAATAGCATCCTTTTTACAAAGGCCAGCAGCAGCAATAGAAGCAGTGACAGCAGCAGAAGCTCTGGGGTTGTCATGTGACCGTACTGCTGCATTCTGGCATCGGCTGGTCCCACGATCCATCCTTCTGACAGACGGCAGTAAATGATCTCAGGGGCAAATGACCCTAAAGAGAAAGGAAAATATTAATTTCCTTGTTTACATCAGAAAAATCACTCCCCAGACCTACGCCCCCACAGAAGTTAGTTCCTCTTCTAGTGTTTCACCAGATGCTCCCAAGGGGACGATGCACCCCCATGACCGGACGCACAGCCCAACTCTGCCTCCCTGCCGGTGCGGGCGACTTCGGGGTACACCACCTGGCAAGGTGCCTTGGCATTTTAGAACCAAATGCTGACCCCCGGCGGATTCTCCACCATTTCTCTTTTCTGTGACGTGCATGGGGAGGCGGTCAGAAGTGGGGGGAACTGAGCAAATGTGTCTGGGTTTTCTCGCCTGTGGCCCTTGCTGGAGGAGAGCTACCCGAGTTCTCAGTGTTCATGGCTGATCGGCTTACAGAGAAGCATTTTTTTTAAAAGTCCTCACCGGAAGATATTTTTCCATTGATTTTTAGAGAGAGTGGAAGAGAGAGGGAAAGAGAGAAATAACGATGGGAGAAAAACACATTGCTTGCCTCCTGCATGGGCACCGACCAGGGCCCAGGCCAGGGAGGAGCCTGCAACCAAGGTATGTGCCCTTGACCGGAACCGAACCCAGGACCCTCCCGTCCACAGGCCGACGCTCTAGCCACTGCGCCCAGAGAAGCATTGTTGACCAACTGCAGTAGCTTCCTAAAACCAGGCTCAGTGGAGAAGATGGCTCCGGCAGAGCCTTGTGCTTCAAAGGACAGCAGGGTGATTTTTTAAAAATCAGCAACGGAGCAGGTTTGCAGTCCAAGGAGCTGCGGAGAAGAGCCCGCCCCAAAGTCTGCAAGGTGGCAAAGTGTCACTTTTTTCCTGGTGTCGCCCCCCCCCCCCCAACAGGACTGCACTGCACACCTCGCTGTCATTTCCTGTTATTACTTTGTACCACTGGGATTCAGTGACAATTGTGAAGAACATAAAAGGGGCGTGTTAATCTCCTACCTGTGCCCCTACAGCAACACACTAAGCGTTTTTAAAAAATTACCCTCCCGCTCCCTCAACAGTGGCCACTATTTATAACTTTGCGGGATACACTACTTCCCAGCACCATTTAATTATTTTTTGTGGGCCCAGGAGTTGTTCTGTTAGGTCAGCGGTTCTCAACCTGTGGGTCGAGACCCCTTTGGGGGTCGAACGACCCTTTCACAGGGGTCGCCTAAGACCATCGGAAAACACATATATAATTACATATTGTTTTTGTGATTAATCACTATGCTTTCATTATGTTCAATTTGTAACAATGAAAATACAACCTGCATATCAGATATTTACATGACGATTCATAACAGTAGCAACATTACAGTTATGAAGTAGCAGAGAAAATAATTTTATGGTTGGGGGTCACCACAACATGAGGAACTGTATTAAAGGGTCGCGGCATTAGGAAGGTTGAGAACCACTGCGTTAGATCATCCTAAGAATAAAAATTCTCCGTAGCCATCCCTCTTCTCAGCAAACAAAACACACACCCAGGCTGACAACAGCCGTTTTCCTGCTGCGTATCTGCTGACATGAATGTGCACACCTTTGAAAACTACCACGATCGCGCCGCTCACAGTTTTGTAGTAACTTACACGCAGAAGCTCGTAGCCAGCCGCGCACACCACGGAGAAGCTGTCTTTCAGGATGTACGTGGCTTGCACAGGTGCGATGTGGCCATGAGGTGGCGCCACCGGATCAGGGCACGGCTGAGCTGCGGGAGGAAGCCGGGCTGTGGGTTCTGAGGGTCTATGCCGGTGAGTCGGGACTGAGCGTTTGAGGTTCTTGGTTTATAAATGAGACACTTAACACGGAAAGGAGAGCTCTTCGGATTTAACACCAAAGCGGGGGTGGCACACCCGGCTGCGTGTTGTGCACATTGGGATGTGCTGCCTGGCCTGGGCTGCAGCCAAAGCTGCGTAAGGAAGCCAGGCCTGCCCTCGCCCGTCCATTTGGCTCAGTGGATAGGGCGTCGGCCTGGGGACTGGAGGGTCCCCGGTTCAATTTCAGTCGTTGCAGGCTCCATCCCCAGTGTGGGGCCTCCCGGAGGCAGCCTATCAATGAGTCTCTGTCATCA